AGTTTCTTTCACCTCCATTTTGGCTCAAGAACACTCTCAAACGCACCCTACGTTGCCAGCCGGTATCTTTGTTCAGCATGGGCAACTCGTTGATTTGCTGCGGAGATGGGACTCGAAAGGCATGGGGTTCCGACTATAAATTTAACGTGATGATCCTCAGCTACCTCGACTCCTGCAGTGGGCAAATGGCCGAGGCTTGGCTGCGGCACCTCCGGGGCGACCTCTCCGTTGGCGTGGCATCCGCCGGGGTCCTTGGGGGGAACACTGCGGACGAGCGCGCCGTAGCAGTGATGAAGGAAGTCGGCATCGACATGTCATCATTTGCGTCGACTGACATGTCAGCCTTTTCGCCGGAAGCCTTTGACGCTGTCATCTTCTGCAGCAACAGTGGAGGCGAACTCCATGGCGATGGTCGTGTGTGGAAGACGCCCCCCATTTTCATGGAGAAGTTCGATGACCCACCGAAAGCTGATCCGGGCGACCTCTCAGCATACCGCCGCATCCGGGACGAGACCAAAGCTAAGGTGCAGGAGTTGTTGGACGTGCTGAGCAAGCCTTATGGACCGCAGTACAAGCACAACGTGCTGTTCCTTTGCGACTACAACAACCTCCACTCGCAGATGGCAGAGGGATGGCTCCGCGNNGCGTGGCATCGGCAGCCACCAACGGCCCCACACCCGTGAAGGAGAACGCCATCAAGGTGATGGGGGAGGCGGGCATCGATATCTCGAATTTCTCCTCGGATGCCGTGGGCAATATCAATGTCCAGCTCTTCCAGGCCGTGATCTTCTGCTCCGGCATTTTATGGGATACTGACAGGGAGATGTTCAAGAAGCGGCCCTACTTTCGTGAGTGGCATTTAGAAGATCCGGCCGACCCGAAGGACTTGTCAGCCTACCGCCAGCTACGAGACGCCTTGCAAGCCAAGGTGCTGAGGCTGATCGGAGATCTGACAACCGGAAAGTCTTAGGACGGTAGTGGTTTCGTAGCTTGAAGAGTGTCCTTTGCTGGGTTTAGGGTGGGAAGACGCCTATAGACACAAGACCCCCATGTACCTAATCCGCATGCAGCAATACAGTATGTGCCTTACACCTTGTAGGACATTCGAAACCCGAGCCCCAGCCACTGTTGCAAATAAATTTTCCAGCATTTACGCGTTTACCCGATGACGCGCAGAGCGCGGAGCTGGGCCGCTTTGTCCACTTTCGATCTGGGTATGCTGTGCGTCGCTTAAACTTTGAACCGAACGATTAACCTTAAACATCCCTAAACCCTCTGAAGGACCACATCCCAAACCCTAAAACCCTAAACCCTAAAACCCTAAACCCTAAAGCCCTAAACCCTCTGATCTGGGAATGGCGATGATCTTGAAGGGACCACAACATGCCCGGACACAACGACATGACCTTGCGACACGACGAGCTTCAGAAGAAAAAAATCGGCAGCTATGCGGGTGAGAAAAAATTCTTTCACCTGGAAAAGCTTTGTTTCCCTTCTGATTGGTCTCATTTTCCTGGTCCCTTGCAGGCAGAGCTGAAACGCCTCAGAGGCTATCGGGAGGCGTGTCGCTGTCGCTGTCGTGCTTGTTGAAGTGGCCCATTGCCACGACGTGGCAGCGCAAACTGGCAGGTCCTGGCCACATTACGCAGGCAGTCAGAGGAGCTGGAGGTGGGCTGAATTCAGTTGAAGCAAAAGCCCTCATGTATGATGTGATGACATCCAGTGACACCAGGCTCTCAGTGGGGAGGCTCGGCCCCGGGCACTGTAGAGCGGCCACCTTTTTTGTGTAGGCTTTTTCGGTGCAACTCGCTGCCTGAGGAGTCAATGGACCTGTCCCGCATTGCGAGTCTTCCGGAAAAGGCGAGCGCACGGGGGTTTGCATGCCATACGCGTGCGTCGTGCCGGACTGTTTCAGGTGAAGGTGGATCTTGCGTTGGCGTTCTTGTCAACGCTGCTGGGCCGAAGGCATCAGAGCCTATTGAGGCTCGGTGAGAGACGCATCGAGATGTAGTAGCTGAGAGCCGTGATGCGAAGCTCTGATGAGTTGCTGGGGTTTTGTCCCTGGCGGTCGAGGTTCGGTGAGCAGTCCTACTAATCTATGTTGAAGGTAGCGGGCCGAGAAGAGAAGCCAGTGGTGGAGCTAATGGCACTAGCTGGGTGGAGTATCATGGAATCGTTCGTCTTAGTCTGAGATCCTTGAGCCCCACCCGCTTTTCGAAGTTGTGAGCAGGATGTGTGTGCTGGCAGGCTAGCCGAGAGGCTTGACGTGGAACCTGGCGATGACAGCCCAACGTCCCTAGACACAGGCTGCCTTTGCCCGCCCCCTTTTCCGGCCCCGGACCGGAGCCGGTCGCTGCTCTTTCTCTCGAGGGTGCATTTGGCACAGGATCTCCGGAAGTCAAACTACGAGAAGCTCTTGACAGCAGCTGGGCTACAGAGAGCCCCAGCAGTTGTAATTCAGGTGTTCGCGTTTGTGCTGCTATTTTGTGCTTCTGCTGTAAGGCCATGTGAGCACCGCATTTGCTGGCATGGTGAACCACTCAGAGCGCTGAGCAGAAATCTGGTGTAGGTGTAGGTAACCCAAAACCGCAGGAGCATTCTGGCAGTATTTCTCCGCATACGTATGCTCTACGGGCCTTCAGCAGAACAGCAAGGGAAGCCTTCCTGTAGATGTCTGTCGCCCAGAATTACCAGCTCAAAGGTTTTTAAACATATGTGCAGTTGCATGAAGACACAAAGTCGCACCCCTGATTCAGGTTCGGCTGCTTGGTTTCGGAGATGCCAAACGGGAGGCCAAGGTTACGGAGCTGGCGTCTACCTATCTGAAGGTGGGGCACGGCACACCGTTGATTCTGGGCATGCAGCTGCACTTGCAGTTGCTTCACGGCCTCGGCATGTCCTGGATTGTAGGTTTCAAGCGTAAATCCACCTGCGCAGAGTGTGGCTCAAGCACACCGAAGGCAGACGTTCAATCGTTCTGCCATTTTCGCCCAGTGTTGCCGGGCTATGACACAGAGGACTATATGGCTCGCTAGCTGAACTCCGGGGATGGATACATCAAGTCATCAAGTGTTATCATCGCGTTTGTCATGTCGTTGGCTCACACGCCTCCCCACTCCCTTTCCCCCCCTTGGAGGCGTGTTGGCCTCCACATGTTGCCGGAATACACTGCATCGCAGTTTGGACCATAAACAGGAGTTGCAATGCAAACTCCTCAAACGCAACTGCCACATTACCGTCCTCAGTCTTGGCGGCTGTCCCTTTCGCAAGCGTACGCGACAGGCTCCGGCCAGCATGGCTCATCCGGACCTGGTTGACAACCAAGGGAAGCACAGGTCGCTAGCTGAAAGGGTAGCTGTGGGGAGTTGGAGGAGTTGAAATTGGGGGGTGGGGGGCACTAGCAGTACTAGCAGATGCCAAGCAAGAGCGAGCCAGCGAGCGTGGCGTGGTGCGGATGGATGTGTCATGCGCGCCCAAGTCTACAGGTGATGTTACCAGTGATGTTGTCAAATAATTTCAGGGCCTGACATGACCGGTGCAAACTCAAGGAAACCACAGCCCAGAAGCCATGCTCGAGACACCATCCCTCAACGCTCAGAAGTTCAGCGTTCGCCGTCTTTCATCAAGCTTCTCATTTCTGCGGTTGCTGCCGTTCTGCTAGCAGGTGGTAAAATGTGGCAAAGACTAAGACATCGCTCTTTGCATGGCCTCGGCTGTTACACTGCTCAGCTGGCTGCAGGACCGCGCTGGATGAGGTGGATGCAAAGGGCAGCTTCAAGAGGACAGCCTTCAGCTTCACTTAGGCGACAGCATACGAAAGCCATGTCTGTGCAGCAGGACCGATGCCACATACCGAAATGTGATTGAGGAAGGCGGTCGCTTCGAACCGGCATGGGGCCGGTACCACCTCTATGCAGCTTGGCAGAGGTTAGACATGTTGTGAATGGGGCCACGAATATCGACACTTGTTCTCCCTTGTTCCTCCCGATGCCGGCGAGGTGGCTCTTGCATGCCCATGGGCAGACGGAACTCTGGCGGCGCTTTACCTGAAAGGCCTTGAGCATGTCATCGGTTTCAGCGTGGTCCACCCGACCTGGCAAAGATCTCGGCCAGAGAACCCTAACGACATGCACTGTGGCTGGGCGTTTCGAAACCCTGGGGATCCACCTCTTGCAAACTCGCTGGGATTTGGCAGATTTGAGTGCGATGATGCGCTCGTTGCTGACGTCGTGAATAATTGCAAGTTCGTCAGAGACTTGTATGAGAAGTCAAACGACAAGACTGGCAAGTACAGCACACCTGTGCTTTGGGATAAGAAAGAAGGCACAATCGTTAACAACGAGTCAATGGATATCCTGAAGATGTTCAACACAAAGTTCAACAAGTTTGCCAAGAATCCGGAGTTGGATTTGTTTCCAGCACACCTTGCCAAAGCGGCTGAGGAGGCAAATGCATGGATCTATCCCAACATCAACAACGGCGTCTATAGATGTGGCTTTGCCAAAACCCAGGAAGCTTACGACATCGCTGTGAAGGATTTGGCAGGTGCCCTGGATAAGGCAGAGAACCTCTTGGCGAAGCAGCGCTATGTCTGTGGTGACACCTTCACGTTCATGGACCTAAGACTCTTCATGACCCTCGTGCGATTCGACCCAGTGTACGTTGTGTATTTCAAGACCAACGTGGGCACGATTGAGATGAACTACCCCAACCTGTTCAACTACATCAAGGACATCTACCAATTCGGAAACATGTCCAAGGCCATCAACATGAGACACATCAAGATGCATTACTTCACTTCGCACCCGGACTTGAACAAGTTTGCGATCATCCCAAAGGGGCGTGATATGGACTTGGCCGGACCGCACAATCGGGGAAAGGGCGGAAAGGCCGTTGAAGTGTCATGTTGGGCGAAGGTCATGGAGCTTATATCACCAAGCCCAAAGTGATAGGCGGATAGAGCGCAGAGCACATCAGAGTCTCATCAGGGCTCAGACGGTCTCAAACACTGCCTTGGATAAATTATGGGCATTGTCTGGGAGGAGCTGCGAGCCAACAAGTTTTCTGTGTGACATCCGGTCTGTCCTCTTGGTGAAATCAAGGCGTGATAGGGCTCTCCGGCCGCAGCTGCGAAGAGTATACAATTTGCTGTACGATGCTCCGTTTAAATTCTTATGCCCCCATTGATTGAGCAGATTGCGTGCTTGCCATTGTTCCTACATGTTCCTACTGCGCGGTGCGCCGGGCTGAAGATTTTCGCACAAGCTTGACAGACCCTGGTTTCTAGACCCCGGCGTCGCTTCCTGAACCAAAAGGCTCTGAGATCTTCTCGCAACTTGCTGACTGGAGCCCTGCGGTCCAGATGCTGTTTTGATTGTCGCATCAATCGATTAGTTGCTCGTTCTTGTGCAGGCTCCGAAGTGCGGCTCTGAGCGTGTCAAGTCCTGAAGTAGCTGGGAAGCTCGACCACTCTTGCGTCGGCTCTCAACAGGGCCAGCGCAGCCCGATCGCGCCACTGCAAACTAAGAGGTCAAGATGGCCTGACCTTGCAGAGCTCTGCTCTTCTGCCAGCAGCTAAGTTAGCGATGACTTGCCGTTTCGCCCATGCTTTTCACCTCGACCCATGGCTTCGGCGGCGGGCTCGAAGAAAGAAAGACGCGTTTGTTGTTCCTCCGTTCAGCGGTAGCGATGTCCCGGACTAAAGCAATGATTGGGGCCGCGGTGCTCGCAAGCCCACTGACCTTCATCGCGCCTGCAGGCTGTTGCTGTCGTAGCGAAGATTGCGCCGTGCGCATGTGGCTTGAAAAGCAGCGTGACGCAGGCACTCCTCAAGCCGCACCCCGCGCTGCTCTCCCTGGCACCGGAACAGAGACCAGAAACACAAAGTCGGGTGTGGCTGGGCCTACTGCTGCTCTGGTGGCCACCGCTGGGTCGCTGCCTCAGTTCTACAGCATTAGTTTGAAGACGTCCCTCAGCATGTGAACTTTGACAGTGGACTCAGTGGACAGGCTTGCGGCCGCAGGTCGTCGGTGCTCGCGGCAGCAGCGTCGGGCCGATGACGCCTACGGTGCCATGCGCTTAGCTCCAGCGGAAGGTTTCGACTGCCCATGCAAGCACTTCGATCCGAAGGCTTCGCACACGTCCTTCTACACCGACGCCGTGGCAAAGGACAAGTACGACACCCTGGAGGAAGTCCCGACCTCACACGCCCAGAGGCAGAAACTGTCTTGCAAGTCCATGGCAGTCTTTACGGAACCAGGATGACGATTATAGCGCTTTTCTCGACCTGTGAGAGGAACCCTCCATTAGATGACCCATCCCATTTCTGCGAACCACTTGCCCCACGTTGCATGGGCGGAATTGGTTACTCGAATCACCGAGGTTCTCGCCGATAAGCTGAAAGACGAGAAACTGAAGGGCATGGTGAACGAGTTGCTGGATGCGTGCGTGAAGATAACTGAGGCATGGCATCCTCTATAACGGTGACTATAACGGTGACCGATCTCTCTCCATGAGCAACGAAATCCGGTTCATAGTACTTGGGTACTATTGGCATGTGCAGATGGTTGATGGAGTCTCCAAGTGAAGCTGTCTCTCGGTCATCCCTTCATGGAGAGCGGTAGATCCTGGTAGATGGGCTTAAAGAGTTGCTGTTTACAAAGTTGCTTTGTACACAAGAATGCACAGGCATGCGCAAGACAAGAGTAAAGTGCACTGCCACTGCAAGCCTCGGATTTCTGTTGGTCTGTCCTCAGTCTCATGCCCGTTCGCTAGGCCTTGCGGGTGAACCTGGTCACCGTCAACGATGCATCCAATGCTTTTGGTGACCGGCAGCTAACCGTAGATGTCATCGCAGACAACCTGCTCTGGGACCTGGCGAAGCATCTGGGCTGTCTAGTCTCCGGAGCAAAGGCCGCTGCAGTGGGAATTTTGCAAGCTGTCAGGTCTTCCAAGTACGTCTATGAGGCCTCCTCTGAGGAGGAGCCAGAGATCGTGCAGACCAATGGTGATGGTCAGTACGTTCTGTGCTGGGATCCATTGGATGGAAGCTCTATTGTAGAACCTTGGCTTCGGACCGAAGTTTGTTTCGGTCAACCTGTTCGGTCCTCGGTTGCATCGCCGCTGAGGACAACAACTGGGCCGTCGGCACGATTGTTGGGGTGTGGGACAAGTCAACTGGCCTCATTGGAGCTACCGGCCGCGACCAGGCACCCCAAACATAAGAGAGCATGAATGCAAGACACAACAGTGCCAACAAATGAGAACTGAGTCAAGAGACGTGAAAGTGTTGTGTTGAATTCGTAAGAGCGCAGACATCAATATCTTTGGCTGGGGCGAGCCTCCGCACCTATTTCTACAAAGCGAATCGGAGGGACTCGTGACTTGATCGCAACTGCACTTAGCGAATGCGACAAAACACATGAGGTAACAGCGACTCGAAAGTGTGGCTGTCAGAACCTGTTGGCGGCTAGCGGCTAGCAGATAGACCAAGTGTACACCAATGACCATTGCCTCATGATTCAGACTCGAGCAGTCGCCTTTTCTGCAAGAATTCGGGGAAATGTGCCACCTTTGTCACAACGAGGCACTCTTCAAACATGCACAAGGCTTTCCTTCAGAGGGCTCTGCATATATATATATATATATAGATAGATAGATAGATAGATAGATAGATAGATAGATCGATAAACGAACGTGTCTCTGACTGAATGACCTTTCGGCGGGATGCTCTTTTGTAAATTCATCCCTCATCGACGGCAAGAGTCTATTGGAGATCTTGCAAACCGAGACTGAGAAATGTTAAGACATGTGCGTGCGCGTGCAGGTGATGAGCCTTGTGGCCCTCTACGGTCCACGAACAACTGCCTCTCGGGCCCGATTAAGCACTTCCAGCCGTCCGCACAGTAGAGTTAGAGTCTTGGGCAGAGGTTTTCATCACGCTGGATGATGGCGTTTACGAGTTCACCCTGGGAGACGGCAACAAGTGGATCTGCTCCCGCGACAAGATCCAGATCAAACCCGAGTGCAAGATCTTTGCTCCCGCAAACATGCGTGCGGCTCAGGAGGTGGACGGATACAACAACTTGATCAACCACTACATGACCAACAAGTTCACATTGCGCTACACTGGTGGTTCCTTGGACGCAGTTCACGCGTGCGCCCAGTGCATTCGAAGGAAGCTGCAGACAAAGCAGATGTGAGTCGCAAGGTCTGGTACCCGACGTGTGCCAGCAGTTTACCAAGGGCCAGGGTGTGTTCACCAACCCAACCTCCAAGGCTGGTCTTGCCAAAGCCCCTCCGCATAGCCACCACGGCACGTCCATTAGCCCGTCAAAAGCCGGGGTCGTCGCTAGAGTCCTTGCCGCTGTCGAGGCGTCCCCAGCGAAGCTGCGCTTGGCCTTTGAGGCCAGTGCTGGCAAAACACCCCTCATCACCCCATGCCATGCCCTCTTGCAATTTAACAGGCGGATACATGCCACACCGACTGTTACATCCATTCTTGGCGTCTTCTGCGACAGGCGGCTCCCTTCGGCCGACTCGTGGAGATGTCAGGCCACAGGGCCTGCGGCCTGCGTAATTTCAGCGCATCAGTCCTGTGTCTGAGTCGAAGAAGTGAGCTGGACTAGAGTCGAAGAATCCGATCCTCTTGGGCCTACCATCAACTCAGAAGTCATAATGGGCGTTGGTCAGGCATAGCTTTTCGTTTGGGTTGCAGATGCGGCAGGGTGAACTTTGATCAATCAAAGTGAATCGCACGAGACGGCGTGTGAGTACGTGAGGCGGCAAGACCTCTGATGGCGTCAGCGGCAATAGTGTGCTGGACCAGCTTTTTCATCAGCTGGCATCAGACAGAGTCTGTCAAGCCGCGCGACACAAACTTAAGCCCGAGCCAATGCAGGACATGAAGATCACTGCCGTGGACCAGCGGACGGCTTTGGCCATTGGATCAGCTCAGGAGTGTCTTTACTTGACCTCGATGGCCTTCGGCATGCAAGTCACGTTGCATTCTTGCACGTGCAGTCTGAATCGCCTCAAGAGCCGCCAACCTCAGCGGCGGGAGATGCCAAAACACATAGCTTGTCTTCAGGAGGTGCAGCGTTTCAACGAGATGGTCCTGCAGAAGTGAGCATTCAGTAGTTGTGACCTGACGGCGGAGCATAGCCCCCAGCCAGCCAGCCAGCATCTTATGCCACGTTGTCTCTTGATCTGTTTTCATTTCTCCCAAGTTTTGTGATTTTAACTCTGCCCGGAGCAACTTGCGGGTAGCGTTGCCGGAATGTTCTGTTTCAAGAGCATCGAAGGTTGGCGGCTGCTGTGATGTTCAAGCGTCGAAAGACGATACTCTAATTATTAATGCACAAGGACGAGTACTGCATGCCTTGAGTCGAGGCAACTTCAGTCGCTTATCGAACTTTCGGCTTGGTTGCTGAGGTCCGGCTTGCACTTGCCGGCCAGAGCGCTGAGGAGGATCCTGCAGGGAGGGAGGGCAAGCGCGTTTCAGCATCTTTTGCGACATGCTGTTTTGCTGTTGGGGATTCTGAGCATGTGAAGTCGGACATGCACCAGGCACAGCGCCAGCTCATGGCAGTAGTTTCAATGCGCTTGTTGATGTTGGAAGTGACTTGCCAGGCGTCTACTACCGTTGGTTGGGCCGCCGACCGCTGTTGGCCTGTAGGTGGCGAGGACCGGCCAGGGCTCTCCTCAGAAATTGAATGAACTTGAAGGAACAGCGAGTCCAAGGTACCACATACATAGCTATCTTGAGCAGCTTCTCAGACTCAGAAGCACGGCATTGCGATGAAGGGCAATGCGAGCACGCAAGAATGGCTTTGAATTTGAAGCCCAAGTGCAGACCCGAAGAGCTAATGTTCTCAGGCAGCATGGCGGCGACGCGTTCTTGCCGAAGGGCTTGCGTGCGCTTACATTCTACCAGTAACCAACATGGAGCTCCCAGACGGTTGCAGAGCGGTCACATGATGTCGGCTGTCATAGAGAAATGGGCAAACAGTGGTTGGGATAAAACTGCTTTGTGTTTGGTAGG